GTAATAACAATATTGTGCCCTCCTAATCTCTCAAAGGTCAATGGGTTAGCAGAGAACAATTTGGAAGACAATGAAAAACAGAGGAAGAGTAGGTCAGACCTGGAAGGAGAATAGTAAAATTCAGGCCTGTAGGGATACATTTTATCTGTTTTAATTCTGAAGTCAGTTTAGGGATGATTTTTATGGGATTAAAAACTCAAGCTTTCTTCTAGTAATTGAAATTAAACGGCACTTGCTCAAGAAAGGATAGTTTCTTATCCATCTGTCATTACAAATAAAAGTAATACCATGTTTAGCAGTATCTAAATAGTGCTACAGTTGGACAGCACTTCTTTCAAAGGCTTCCCAGCATGCTCTGCAATGAGAAAATAACCAAAACCACATGGTCTTTGCTCCAGGATCTGCAAAATTGTAAATCTAACCGCAAAGATATTTCCAGGTTAGAAAGCCGTTACAAATATCCATATGCTTATTTCATCTAAGATATACTATGTAAGAACCTATGGCGGAAAGGACACGTTCATAATAGAAGGCTCTTTCATATATAAAGCAATAGAAACCATGCATTTTGAAGCTGGGTGTGTTCAAGACGGAAATAAAATATCAGCCTTCACAGCAAGTACGACTAACCAGTGCAGCTCATGAAATAATGTTAAGAATTGCCTACCAACTGAATGTTTACTTCACAATTTGATAATCCAATTGACAAAAATACTATGAGTCCCTTCTTTCATTAAGTATATTGATTTGTTCCATAATGGCCTTTGAAATGAAAATATTAATCGCCTTTGTTGTTTTCCTCAAAAATCTCTTAATGGATAGAAAAACCTGGAAATCACAAACATTATTGTAATAAATGTCAGGGTTGCATAGCCACTGATTGATTACCAGAGACAGGCAGACAACACAAAGTGGAATAAGAGAGGTTGGTACCTTCAGAGCAATAAATACACTGGATTTGAGGTAGAAATCTACCTGTCCAGAGTGAGGCAGCTGTCCAAGTCCATTGTTACAGTATTAACACCTACCACAAGAACACCAGGAGGGAAAAGTGTTTCAGGCCAGGCACCCTCTTCCTCTCTTTCGCCAGGCCGCCTGACTTCTTGCCTCCCTTTTCCTTCCCCGCTTCCCGCCCGCCGCGGATCCTGTCACACAGTACCGCTCGGGCGGCTCGGCGGGCGCCAGCAGAGGGCGCTGCTGCACGCAAAATCCCGCGCACAGGCGGAGGCGGCAACTGCGCGAGCCGGCCCGGCCAGCGAAACCGGTGGCGGGCTGAAGATGGGCCGAAGGGAGGCACGTGGCCCCGCTGGGTCCTGAACAGGGATTTCTGCTTTGTTGTTGGCATCAGCTCTGAGGAGAAAGCCGCAGAAAGACTGTTGGTTTCTGCCCTACATTTTGCCCTGGCCATCTAGTGACCGGGGAGCAGACACTGTGCTGCAACCGAGGCTCAGCTCCCCGGAGGACTGAGGGGCCTGAGACTGAGCTGGCAGCAGCACGGAGAGCAGAAGAGCTCTAGTCCTGTAACCTGGACTTTCATAGTTCTCTCAGAGATCTTTTGGGGTCCTATAACATCGCTGGCTGTCAGCAAAGCTCTTGGTTATTTGACCTTACCATGCATGACTATTCATAGGGGCACTGCAGGAGGAAGCTATGAAGTGCTTCCTAGAGAAGCTAAGGACTATGTGGTGAAAAGTAGTATGTTGGAATTCAGGTGGGTACTGACCTTGTACCCAGCTGACAGGGTCAGCATGGAAGGCTGGGGAAAAAGGGCAAAGATACAGACCCCCCCACACTCCCTGCCACTAACTCTCTGAATAATTTGTCTCATCTTCATTTGCACCTTCTGTAGAGTGATTGTGCAATCACTTGATTAAATCTGCTCTCCTGCCTACATCAGTTTTCTGTGGTGATTAAGGTAGCACCCATTGAATCTAGTCAGGAAACAGCTTTCCCCTCCAAAGTAAAGGGGTCCTGTCCCCACAGCTCGTCCTCATATATTCACTCAGATTCTCCCTTTGCCCTCCCGAATCTGTTTTACTCTCATGAGCTCACAATGAGCCCCAGTTAAAAAAAAAAAAAAAAGTGCTATTCTGAAAGAACACATTTAATTTTAACCCTGGTTAGCTCTACCCAAAACAAAGGCACCGAGAAGAACCAAGATCTTCCTTCCTCTTGCCTGCGTGCACATATAGTAACATATCCCTGCCATGATGAGCACACATGCTGAGTAGGTGGGACAAACCAGGGCTCACAGGTTAAGTCAGCTGCCCTGGATCATGCAGGGAGATATATGGCAGAGCTCAGGTTAGATAATGTGACCCTCCCACGATCCAGTTCATTGTCCACCCAGTAAAGCTGTGGATACTAATTTAGGCAGAGATGCCGTCTGCTTTCCACTGTTGCTTACTCATCTGTCTCCTAGATTAAAAGGTTTTGCTGATGACTAAATTAAAACTCAAACGTAAATTTCATTTGTTGCCCTTGGAACCTGGATTGCAATTTGCAACGATAGACATTTGCAACTCCTGTTTATTCAAATCCAGGTTTTTGTTTTTAAATTGGGAAAAAAAAAAAATCAAACCCAGGGAATTTTCTTCATGCCTCCCCGTTATTGAAAACTGCCTGTAACTCCTAGGAACAGACTTTGCTAGATCCAGATATTGAGGAGTCTAAAAATCTTGCTCAGAGCTCTGTGAGAAATTGTGGACCTCTAAAGGAAAGGTTTTTAAAGATGACCTTTTGATCTGCTTTGAGGAAGAAGAGACATTCTGTGCTACAGAACCTCTACAAGAACTTGGGCTTAAGAGGCTTAGTAAGGGGAGTGGGACCAAGACTGCAGTTCACAGGGTAACATTTCGTGCATGGACTGTTTGCTGGCCCCCTTGGCATAGCCCTGGGAAAACATTTTAGAGAAAGAACAACGCAGAAGCAGCTAAATCACCACTTCTGAAATGCTTTTGAGAAAAAATAATCACAAAAATATTGAATCAAGTCCACATCAAGTGATCTCACACTTCCTGAATCCAGTCAAAAGAGCTAGACAACAAGAGAATATGCTCTTGTCACCATGAATGACTTCCTTCCGGAAGCAATGGAGTATTAACATAAATGTATCAGCAACAACAAATGACCAGAGGAGCCCAGCCACGTAGAGTAGAATATCAAACTCATGCCAGTATTCACACCACCATCTGAAACTGCTAGCTGGAAAGAGCAAAACCTTCCTGATAAATTTAGCATCAGTTCAACTGGATTTCATTCACTGCAAGAATTATGCAGCAAGGACACCTGCTACTTATGAAGGCTGAATGCTCCATTCCTAAACTTTTAGAGAAAATTAGCATGAAAATTACTAGAGAAGTAGAGAAGCCTGATAAAAGACTTTTTTCAAAAACTATCTATTTTGCTGCCATAAGCCAATGCAGAACTGCTCCCGCTTTTAGATTTTTTTTATTGCTTCAAATGTATCAGGGGATAATGAAGTCTTTTCCTACTTTTTAATACATCTCATTGTCATTAAGTTATTTTGTCTATTCAAATGGATTCATTTTTTCATTGTTTTAGAAGGAATACATTGAACCTGGTAGGTCAATACCATTTAGCACAGCATCACTCTGAAGCAAAAAAGGGAAATTGCAGGGTTTTGCTTTGTGTCATAAGGTAGGTTGAATGTTTAAAAAAAAACCCCAACAAACTAATAAAGTGTATTTCATTGCAAATGGAACAATAGATTCTTAGTAAAATTCTGGCGTTGCAATTCAAGTAAACTATTTGAGATGATTTTCCCAAAATGCTGCTAGGCTTTAAAGTAGCTGAAAGTAAACAGCAAAGTGAGTGAAAACAGAAACCATCTCCAACATCCTTCATTATTACTGGATCATTGGATGAGTATAAAAGCATTTGAAATAACAAGACCCAAGGATCTTTTCCTATGCCTTTTTGCATGGTTTCCATCCACAACTTGGGAAAAACTGATTCTAAACGTGAAAACAATCTGGATAGGTAAAACTGTACAGTTACTTTAATACAGCACAAAACAGGAAATAACTACTTTATTTGTTAAACATTGAGAGGAAATGTTTAACATAGAAAAACAACTTCTCAAGAGACTCTACCTTACCTTGTGCTCCCTTGTCAAAGCCCCACAGGCGGCTTCCGACTCAGACCTTCTGAAGACTGAAAGAAAACAGCAGCTGAAAAAAATTGTAAGAGGAGAAGGATATAAGATTTTGATGACAGAGTCAGCATTTTTGGTCAACTCTTGAGAACAAAAGTGGAAGTATTAGTGATTGGAAAATGAACTTTAGGGGCCCCTAGTTTATGAGCGTGAGGGAAAACAGTTTTAAGGAGAATGGCCCTTGTCCTGCTGTCCTCAGACTTCACACATCCAATTCTCGATCGTGCTTGTAATTTTATGGGCACGCATTCTAGTATCTGCAAAATTCCGGTGCCTAATGTCAAGTCTTGGCCTGAGACACGTCCCACGCCCAGAAGGCTGAGAAGGATTTTACCGAGCCCAGGCGGAGAAGAGGGTGACAGGGGCCGCCGCGGGCCGCCGGCGGCGGCCGGGGGGGCGAGCAGAGCCGCCGCTGCCGTCCGCAGTCCGCACGGCGGAGC